ATGCTGAGACCGACTTCGGTCCTTTGGTATCGTTACTATTAAATTCTTTATTGCTAAGCTCTCGAATGATTTCGTCCGATAATTGAGGATAATCATATTGCTCTGATAGAATATGCAAAAATTCGGCCATAGGTTCGGCTAAATGCTCGAAGTAGGTCAAATTCTGCACGATAGATATTTGTGCAGCTATCACTTAGTCAGTTCAAACCCCTTATACATCTGAAAATAACCTACCATAACCGTGGCCGTGATGCTTAACAGCAATGCAGAGCACTTTGAAAGCGTGCATTCGGATTGCTGTATTCTTAACTCTTTGCTCACTCTCTAGTACCATATACACAGGTCTCGTAAATAGACTAATAAATGTGTCCCTCTCGGATGTTGTTAGAAATATCTTTGAAAGCTTTAACTTCAAGACCTTGCACATAGTGTCAAGTGCTGTTTGTAATTGAGCAGATGAGTCCCAGTTCTCGTTTTTCGCACTTGCTTTAGCTTTTGAGGCCTTGCCTCTTCCACGAGCCACCGGCGCAGTTGTCGACTTCTCGGCCGCCTTGGTTTCCACCGCTGCGATCGTCCATTGTAATAGGAATCCAAAGATCTCCAGTAATTGTTTATGGTGAGCCACTAATTCCTGTTCATCTGTTTCGAGATCGTTATGAATGATATCCGCTTCGGCGGAAAGACCGGAGACTATGAGGTCAAAGATTTTGCTCAAGGCATGTGTAGGTAGGGCGGAAGAGGATCTAGAAAGTTTGAAGAGTTCAGAATCTGGTTCGGTGGGGTAATTTTGAGTAGATTGAGGACAAACTGGTACACACTTTAGCAGGAATTGCAAGGAATCAAATGATGAACTTCTTGTTATAGCATCTGGATTCTCTGCAACTGAATCCACGATGGGGTTAAGGACACTGTTGACCAGGGCATTTGTGAGCGATTCGGGGTCATTTTCGCAATCGACAAGGTTGGAATCTGCCTCTGGTGTCGGAACAGTGGCGGGGTCGCTCATATAATGCTTAAGAGCATCATTGATATCGAAATCTATCGTATCCATATTGTCGACAATAACGACCTATCCAGAATCGCAGTAGAATACATAAACCGAGGTTGTGTATTGTCGTTGAACTATTTGTTTGTTCGAGTGAAGTTTGCGATAATAGTTGCTAGGGGTTTTGTGTTTATTGATGTTGACTTTCTACCACTTTAGGACTAGCGCCTGGAATCTGCACCGCGATTTGACCGCGACTTGAAGACCCCGCCAAAAATCACATACAGCGAGCAATAAATTACTACTGCGTAGATTGTACTAAGCAAACCGATCGAGATCTCGACTCCGTTCAGTGATGGGTCTTTAAGAATCTCAATTTACTCAAAATTCTATTCAATAGCAATATGTCAACAGCACGTCAACGTCAAGGGAATACCAAAAATTCTTTCCAAATTCACAATGACGAGACAAATCATGAAGAGGCAATGAATGAAGAGGGCCTCGAGAACGACGAATCAAGAATTGAAGATAACGAAAGGCTGCAAGAAGAAGGGTATTCGGAAGACTCTGACGAAAGCGATGATGCTGTTGATGCTGCTACTGCAGAGGATATCGCCAAATTTGAAGCAACTTTCAAGGGCATAAAGGATCGATTTCGGCTGATAAATCGTATTGGAGAGGGTAAATGAAGCAATTGTGTGATATGGTACGGTTACTAACGCGATCTAGGTACATTTTCTACCGTTTACAAAGCAGAGGATCTTCTATATGAGCATTACGATAATGATTGGGATATTGAAGAGAAAGAACATTCCGCATGGACGTCACCGCCCGTAAAGAAAAGGAGGACCGGTGGAATTCGAGATGTCTTAGACCAATATAATCAACAACGCCGTGGGAAAAAGTATGTCGCCATAAAGAAAATTTATGTTACAAGCAGTCCAACTCGAATCCTCAATGAGCTGGATCTCCTAAACGACCTTCGAGGCTGCGATTCAGTCTGCCCCCTCATCACAGCATTCAGGCATACCGATCAAGTAGTAGCAGTTCTACCATATTTCAGACATACGGATTTCAGGGAATATTTTAGGAAGATGAAAGTCTCAGATATGCAGGTGTATTTCCGGTCGCTGTTCACCGCTCTAAAGGCCGTTCACGCCCAGGGTATTCTTCATCGGGACATCAAACCGACGAATTTCCTCTACGAGCCGGACAAGAAAAGGGGCGTACTTGTGGACTTTGGATTGGCAGAGCGAGAAGAAGAGGATTGTAAATCTTGTCTGTGTACAAGAGATTATGACACACGCAAAAGGAAGCTGGAGAATAGTGTAGCCATTCAAAACTTGCCATCGGCTGGCTACCCAAAACATGACAGTCGACCATCGCGGCGTGCAAATCGGGCTGGAACTCGTGGCTTTCGAGCTCCTGAAGTCCTTTTCAAGTGTCAAGAGCAAAGAACAAAAATCGACATCTGGTCTGCCGGAGTAATACTTTTGACTATACTTTCAAAACGTTTTCCGTTCTTTAATTCCGCTGATGATGTTGAGGCAATGATTGAGATTGCTACAATATTTGGAGTCAAGAGAATGAAGAACTGTGCTTATCTTCACGGGACTGTTTTTGAAACCAATATTCCTACGATTGGTCAGGCAGGGTTTGCGTTGGAGAAAATCATCCTATGGTCAACATGTAGAAATGATGGAGGACCAGATGGGGCGGAACAGCCATTGACCAAGGAAGAGAAATTGGCCGTTGAATTTCTGGAGCGCTGCTTGGAGCTCAATCCGCACAAACGTATTAGCGCAGAAGATGCCTTGAATCATCCATTCCTTCTGGAACCAACGCAAGATGACATCAAGAACGAAGATTATGATGAGGACGAATTAAGTATGATTCCAGCGTAATGAATGGGTGTATTGGCGCTTTTGGGATTATGGGGAGTATGGTAAATTTGTTTTGGGACTTTATTTGTATATATATTAGTATTGCGAGGATATGGTGATATTGCATGCCAGTTCTCAAGATACTGTTCTACATAGCACCCGATCTAGGTGTAGGTTACTTCAAAAAGTGAACCCTCTCTCAGATTGCACAGCACCCATAATAATGAAAATCAATTCACCAACGAAAAAATGGTTTCATAATTCCTTTCATTTTCATCAAGAACTCCAATAGCCATTTGTTCAGAAGCCATTCATGGTATTTTGAGAAAACCTATAATCCATTCGCTATGAATTTTCCCATTTATGCAACCAATTCAACAACTCCTCCAGCCTCTGTGATCTTTCTCTCTGCCTCCTTGCTGAACCATCTTGCGCGTACAACCAATGGTATTTCTGGGATTCTACCCTTTCCGAGAACTTTTGAGTAGCCGAGTGGGAGGAGGTCGAGGACTGGGACGGTGTCTTTCTTTTCGCCGGAGAGATATTCATCACGCTTCTCGGCTGGGACGAGGGACCAAAGCTAGATAGCAACATTAGTAAATGTATTTTTGTGCCATATCAATCGCATCTCGAAAGATCTCAACCTCCCCGCGAGCCAAATCATCGTGGAATTGAACGTACCTTGTCAAGGTTGACAACTGGCTTCCAGAAGTGGTTGCCTTGCTTGTGGAAGTATCTCATACCGACCTTTCCGAAGTAACCTGGATGGTACTTATCCATGTTGGTTCGGTGGTGATGTTGACCACCAGCAAGACCACGACCACCTGGATGCTTGCGGTGCTTTCCTACACGACCTTTACCGGCGGAAACATGACCGCGGCTATACAGAAAAAAATCTCGTCAGCTTCAATTCTTTTTCATTCCTCCATCCAATACACTATCAACAACTTCGAGGGGAATTGATCTGGGCGCGCGCGCTCAATCGGTTTGTAATTTTGTCGATAGGAAATTGCGATTTCGAGGGATAGAACGTACTGCTTGCGGGTTTTGCTCAAATGGGTAGGCATCTTGTCGTTGAAAGAGTGCCGTGTGGTTGTCGATGTCTTTGGTGAGACTTTGAAAGTTCGAAAAATGTTAATAGGAATTCAAGCAATTGTGTGGGCGCACGTGGACGCTAGTAAGCGAACAAATAAAATAGTTTTTGCCTCAGGTCCCACAGTTCTATTTCTTCTCACGAACCCTCGCCATGCTTTCTCTTTTGTTAATCTCGAAATTAATTTTCTTAATTTCTATTCATTTTTTCAATCTTACTGGGTTGGATAAAGATGATAAACACATATCATTTTGTCAGAATTTCAAATGTTCAATAGAACCCGAGACTCTATAGAAAAGCTACAATATATCATGATCCAGTTGATATGTTCAGTCAATAGCGGGCAACCCCCAAATTACCTGGGTCTATAATCATCATCAATCTACCTTGGTGGTATGCGTTCTCTAGAAATCAAGTATTGCACTACCAGTGTGGAACAATCTTTGCACTCTATTGGCCTATTCTTGTATATTGTACGAATGCAATGTAGGATGCCTCCGCAGAAAAAACTTCTCGTGGGCGAAGTCTCTCCTGAGGCGGAATGATTACAGAACAAATTTCCATAAGCCAACCATTTTTCTGAAATCAAACCGTTTCTTGTCATTTAGAGTTATAAAATGGGGTTTTCCAAGACTTGGGGATTGGTATCATTCGGCATCTCCTAAACATTTCGCAGGCATCTTGACTCGATATCTAACTTTGAGGATTGTAATTTTTTGACCAAATTTTTTAACCAAAGCACCCAGTTTTGATTCGGTCGTTCCATGCTCATATACTGTTCTCTTGTATACGACGTGGAATCTCCATATCAGGCACACCGTGGCAACTAGTTATAGCGATCAGCCTAGTATGGTCCAAAGACACGAAAACGGGAGCACATCCTCACGAAGTAATTCTGAATGTATCAATTTGATATTGCAAAATTCGATTGACATGCAGGGCTCACAACAGGCCCTTTCTCCTGATGTGCATACACCTTTCATTCACCAAATTCCTGCAAGATTCATAGATCACGACAATACGTGAAATGGGGAATCGCATGGCAACCCCTCTGGTTTATGATATTGCTCGTTTTGTATGGGTATGCTCTAGCCATTGGGCATCACCTTTATTCCTACTCCTTTTATAAGACTGCGGCTGAGTCACCGTTACGCCAGCAATGGCCTATCAGCTTTGGTACCATATTTGCTTATGCCACTGCTTCACTATTGGCAGCCGCAATAGAAGCAGCTTACGATCAGCAGTTATGGACGTTGTCCAAATAGGGTTCTTTCTCGCTGAATGGAATTGACGATCTTTTTGCCTTAAAGTCAACGCTTACTGGTTTCTTCAATGTTGAACTACTTGCACATACCAAATTGGCCGTGCTGTTAGCATTATGTTCCTGGTAAGCACTTCCTCCTATGAAACCAATGATGACGATTGCTTAATATTTCGTACGGGTTGGTAGCTCTAGCTGCTATTGCACCGCCCGCCACTTTATCTGTGGTTCTAGACATTTCTATTGAAAGCCAATCAGCGAAACTTCCAACTCTCAATTGGAGCTGGAAAGGATTTCACTATCTAAAATTCGATACATTCGCTCAACCAACGGCTGAAGTTTCCGCACTCACAACGTCTGCAGCTGAGAATATGGATGTTCTTTCGCATTATCCAATGGCCGATAATTCGTCTTACTACTTACAACTTTGGGGGCCGACTATAAGATGTTCATCATTGACAGATGTCCAAAAGCGATTTTTCAACAATTTTATCGCCTCGTTTCCTAATGATACAATAACGCTTCATTCACTTTCAATCCTAGGCAATATTACTACTGCAAGCCGATCATACTCTTATGAACCTGGCTTTCCAATGCTTATGTTTTCTGCATTCACGCCGCTCTTCGCGGGTTTCGACTCCTTAGGTTTCAATAATAAGAACCTCTGGTCACTACCGTCTAATTCAAGTATCCATTTGAAATTAAAGACACAATTATGTGTGCAGACCTCACGAGATAATTTTGCATGCTCGCTAGTTAACACATCTTACAAAGTAGGTTTTGATGTTGCAAATGGCGATCAAAAAATCACCAGTCTTCAAACCATAGGGTTTGAGCGTGTACTGATGAATTCTCACGCTGACGGCTTCGATTACTTCAACCCTTATCCATATACTGAACATGACTCCTACATTGCATCGTTTGTAGCTTTATGCAACCTCTTAGTGGGTAACAATACTGTACGTGAAGACTGGCTTGGAGCTAGTGGGAAATTTCTAATTGATGAATCTTCCAGCTTGATGTTAAGAAGTGGGCTCGACGCATGTGAGGATTTTACTAACAGTTTATGGATAGATGTACTTGTGAGAGGCATTGCTAGTGATTATGACAAAATGAAAATGGACAATTCCTCTTGCAGTAGTACCCGCTCCATTGTGTGGTCTAACTCTTCGATGTCCGAACAGTATAGTCGGCCAATCAATAACACTAGCAGAATTTTTGGCAAGCCTAAATTTATGTGTCGCAATCGAACTTTGGATCAAGCAATTGAGGATCTTTATCAAAACATCACAATAAGAATGCTCAGCGCAGCTCAATTGACGTAGGTACCTTTCAAATACTTGAAGTTTTCACAGAATTCAGATTCAGCATTATCATTACTACTGTATTTTGGATATCAGTGTAGTGGCAATAAGCAACACCACAAAATAAGAGTGCACTTTTACCCAGTTATAGGTGGCCATGTTGATAGTCATTTTACAGGAAACTGGAATACGACAATGTAACATATAGAAGATCAACAATCGTCTACCAGTACAATCTGCGCACCCTTATATTATCCTACAGCATCGCAGGCTTCAAAGCTTTCATAAGTATCATCATAGGCATAGTATCATGCATCAGCAATGGCGTCGCCCATAGCACCGCTTTCTCAGCTCTCGTCGCTACGACGCGCAACCCCGAACTCGATGCTCTACCCAAGGGTCATTGCATGGGCTCACTACCTCTTGACAAATAAACGGCAAAGACGAGATTGGAGTTTGGAGAGCTGAAAAAGGGTACTGTCAGGGAAATGGCTGGGATGGCTGGGATGGCTGGGAGTGTTGAAGTTAAACATTTGGGTTTTGGGTTTTGGGTTTTGAGGACGATGTAGTGAGATTGAGGAAGGGTGGGGTTCATATTCGAAGTAAAATATGCTTATATGGAGTATGAAGAGATTGCGTCTTGGAAATGGGTATTCATGTGACTGGATATATGGAGGAGGGTCTCGGATATACGGCATATACGGAATGCACGAACGCTTGGGTTTGTTCCAATTTGTCGATAGCCATAGAGTAACGTAAATGTTCGGGATAGGCGTCTGTACTCATGTAGTATAAGAGATTGACCTAGGACGGCATATGCTCTAATTCCATAGCAGTTCGCTACAGCTATTCATCTTGTCTCATTTCATTAAGCAATCTATAGACTCGCATCCATCATTTTTATTCAAGTCACTGTAAGCCAGTCAACCATATGTTGTATCGGTTAAGGCAATTAGATCCGACTTGCTCTCTGTTGACGTTCACGACAAGACATACTTCATACTTCACACACTATCAAATCAAGCTCCTGTTGCTCTTTCTTATTTCCTCACTTTACAAACCTTACCAGACTCATTAAATGGCCACCTGACTTGCACCCTCAGCCCCTTCAACACAATATATTATACTCCAAGCCTCAAAATCGGTGAACTTTATGGAATTATCTCTGATAGAAGAATATTAGCTTGTAGTTGATTTGGTGTTTCCCTCATGGTAAGTTTTATTGCATATCTAAATTTGGAAAGGTTCGAAAAGACCTTAAAGAGGAGGTAATCTCAACATTCAATGCAAAGATTTTAATTCAACAAACCGGATGGTTTGAATTCGTTTTCGAATGATTTAAATTTGTAATATCTATCTCGTTTAAACGCATTAGTGGGTTCAAACTTTAGAGACCTTTTCTATAGGGAAAAGTTCAACCTAGTATCACTCATGCAAAAGCAAGAAGTATATTCACAACTTCCCATCCCAAAATAAACCTGCTCCCGGTGAGCCCGCAGACCAACCTTTCAATCCCCCGTTCGCCCGGAAAACTTATCCATCAGTGCGTCCGGATAATAGCAAATAAAACCCACACCTCCTTACCGCCATTTCACACATCCGTATCCGTGTCCCCTCATCCGCATCCGTCCGTGTCTCATTCATGCCTCCCTCGCATCCCTCCATACCCAAAAGTCGCCAGGGCCTCGAGGGACCCTGATCCCTTAGCATGCACGGCTCCCACCTGCAATAAAAACCTACACACAGACACAAACTCAATTATTCACCTTGGATTCTTGGCATGCATCCTACCCGCGCACGCTCGGCAAACTTCCCTTTTCTCCTCGATGCGCAGGGCTCACTTACCCTGGAGCCATTCTCCATTTACGGTTTGTTTACCCAAGATGTCTTCACTGCTTTCGAATAGATATCTTGGAAAGCGACATCGGCATCTCCTTCATCCTCTCTCCTTCTCATTCGTCCTGTGATATCAACACGGCAGTCTGTCCCTGTCTTGGCTTCTGTCAGTGTCAGTGCCAAGTGTCAGTTTATTGCATAACATCTATGAAGTATAGCGAGTGGGTCTTTATTTCGATATACTTTCGGTAGGTACTCGTACACTGTATATTGGGTTTCGAGTACCAGACCAGTAACTTGAATTCGGTGTATACAGTATGATAGTAAATATCCTTTCAAATGTCCAAGCTACAAATGCTTAGGAATCAAAGTCCCCGATAGGAGTCGGAAAATAATAGATTACCGGTAATAGATCGGTGTCTGATGAAATATTGTAGTGTAAGTACACAGCGGGGTTGCAACCCCGCGTTTTTGCTTTTGTTTTTGCCGTCTGTTGGTTTGTTTGTCATCAGAGGTATGTATGGGTGATCTTCTATCTATTTGGGTATGTATGTATGTATGTATGTATGTATGTGTGTATATGATCATCCAAACTTCCTGTATCCTTCCCGGCGCATCAATCAATTATATCCCTCGATAGCAAAGCAGTAAGTCAGTCAGTCAGTCAGTCAGTCGAGAGAAATACAACTACAAACCCGAGTATATGGATATACATAACAGCAGGACTAAACATTCAATTACTCACCACCATATCACTCATCTCCATGTAGGTATCTTTTCTTCAACTATCCAATTCCACTATTTCACATTACATAAAAATTCGGGTTAGGTACCTACCTACATCAATACCTATACATCGATTTCAATTTTCCACACCCAAAGCATTCGGTTACTGTACTCGGGTTTCGATGTACATGTGTATATCTGTATATCCTCCCCTCGCCTACCAATATACCCAAGTACTCAACACTCCAAACATCCATCCTCTCATCCTCATCCTCATATAAACATATCCATCTATATTCTCCTTACACATCATCAATCAATCCATCAACCTGCATGTCCATCCCCATCTCCATCCTCATCCCCTCGCCCCCACCCTCGGCCCCAACATCCGAACCGGTAATAAAATCTCCCATTACCATTACCATTACCATTACCTACGCATACACTCTCCATTCCCATCTACCAGTCAGTATACCAGGTGGTAATGCACTACTCAGTCAACACCTACTTACTCAGTACCTACCCAGCACCTACCCAGTACCTACCCAGTACCTACATATCTAGTAACCACACACCCTCAAATCGGTGTATCAAGAAGATTGCAAATCAATTCTCTAAACAGAAATAGAAATCTATCCATCTGCTTTTCCATTCTTTAAAAATCGACAATTGCCCAAAGATACAATATCTTCACATATTCTCATAATCACATATCTACACATCTACATATCTACATACATACATACATACACACACAAATCAAATCATCTACCTCATCATATCATCCAAGCTTCAACTCCATTCCCCTACGATATTTTCTTCAACACTTGCTCGGTGTGGGGGATCCACTTTATCAATCTATCTATCTATCAACCAAACCATCGTTTTTATCTATGACTCCTTCCAGTGAATGATTCAGAGGATGATTTTTTTCCCTCTCTCTCGGAGGATTCCAATTGTTAGATAGATTCTTTTATATAAATCAGGATTCTCCTTTTAAACCGCTTGCTGGATTTCAGACTATTATATTATATTATATCATATTATACCTTATACGTAATCCCCAATTGGGAGTTCCATCCAAAATGGCGAACCCCGATTCCAATCCCATAAATCCAAAAACCACCACCGAAGGAACCTACACCAGCTATTGCTACCTCCCAACCCACCCAATCCACACTGCCAACCCCGACAAAGAAATTTCCAGCTCACCCCACCATCCCGATCACTCCGATCCCGAGCTAACAACCGGCTCCGAGGAAAAAGACGCAGCATTTGAAGAAACCCTAGCGCGGAGAACTCGAACCAATGGAACCCAAGTGACGACCGCGAGTTGGAGAGCTCTGGGGCCGCCGCCGGATGGAGGAACGAAAGCCTGGGTGCAAGGTGTGTGTTTTGTTATTTCTTTTTATTATTTCGCGGGGTGAGAGGCGGGGATGGAGAAATGGGAGGAGGGACGGAAGAATAAATATTTGTGAGGAAGGTTGTGGTTTGAAAAAGAGAAGGGAGAAATAAGAATGTTGAAACGGCAAGGAAATGTAGGGACAGCATGGAGAGATCAGACGCCAATGTATCTCGCGTGATAGTAGTCTTCATACAAAGTGTCAACGTGAAATCCTCGCAAGTGCAGGTACAAGTCCAAGAGAAACTTCGAATATAAATGCAAGGAGAAAAAAAGACAAGACAAATGAGGGAAACCGTGTCAAAACACGCCTAAATTGTATATTAAATTGAATTGCAGAAACTTGCTAGAGAGATGTCAGTGGTTTAGTATTAGACCTTACCGAACCATCCACTAACTTCATTGATTTCCGCAGTCATCCTCAGTCATCTTGTCATCATGAACACATGGTTAGTATTCCCCAACCATTCCCAATACCTCGCATCCAACCTAACACCACCACAGGGGTTTCATAAACTCTTTCGGCGTCTTCCAAACCTACTACGTCACCACCCTCAACCGCCCCGCCTCCGATATCTCCTGGATCGGCTCCATGCAAATCTTCCTCCTCTTTTTCGTCGGTACCTTTACCGGGCGTCTCACCGACGCTGGATATTTCCGCTCCGTATTCCTCATCGGCACCATTATCGGTCTCGTCGGAATCTTCATGACCTCCATCTCCACGACCTATTGGCAAGTATTCCTGGCGCAAGGAATCTGTATGGGTCTCGGCAATGGCTGCTTATTTTGTCCTGCTCTTGCAACTCTCAGTACGTACTTTAGTACCAAGAAGAGCTTGGTCATAGGGATTGCGGCTGCGGGAAGCGCAACAGGTGGTGTGATTTTCCCGATTATGGTGCAACAGTTATTGCCCAAAATTGGATATGGGTGGACGATGAGATCGCTGGGTCTTATTCAATTAGTGTGTCTTGGAATTTGTAATATTGGGATTAAGCAGAGAGTTCCCCCGAGGAAGAGTGGTGCTTTGATAGACTATGCATCGTTCAAGGACGCTCCATATGTGTTATTTGCAATTGGAATGTTTTTCGTAAGTTGTGGTAATCATGTGTTGATCGACACAAACTGATGCGAGCAAACAGAACTTTTGGGGCTTATATTTTGGTTTCTATTACCTTGGAGCGTACGCAAGATCAATCATCGGATTGCCACTTGCAGAATCGATAAATATAATAATCATACTGAATGCCGTTGGGGTAGTAGGTCGCGTCCTACCAAATCACCTGGCAGATCGAGTATTTGGACCCCTGAATACACTCATTCCAATAGCAATCATAGACAGCGTTCTTTGCTTCTGCTGGATTGCCGTATCATCAAGAGGTGGTTTGTATGCATGGGCGGTTATGTATGGAATCTTTGCAGCGGGTATCCAAGGACTATTTCCGGCAACTTTGAGTAGTCTCACCACAGACCTAAGAAAAGCCGGCGTTAGAATGGGAATGGTATTTACCGTTGTAAGTTTTGCTGTGTTGACGGGTCCTCCTATCGGAGGAGTGCTAATTCAAAAGAAAAATGGGGGGTACGAGTACGCGCAAATCTTTGCCGCTGCTGACTTGCTCATTGGGACTGCTTTCTTGATAATGGCAAGGTTAGCTAAATCCAAGAAGTTATTTACTAAGATGTGAGAAGGGTTGAGGTCCAAGCTAGATTGCTGTTATGATTGCGGCTATTAGTCTGTCTCATTGTACCATTAGATTAGATACATACGAGTAACGGGGCGTTTGTAGTCGGATGTTTCCGGTAGTTTAATGATACCCGCGCTGCGCTCGTTGAACACGCAAGCTAAGATTAAACCTTCTGGGGTAAACAAGACATGACTACAAGCCCCATCAAACCCAGCCACAAGAGATGATTACGGTTTTCATAACACTGTGCAAGCAGTACCTATTTAGTATTCACCGATAGTGTCACCGATAGTGGAAGATAGATGCAAGTGAAAAAGCTTTCATCCTTTCCTGACATCACCTACGGCATACTAATCCAGATGCGTGAGTATGGAAGCCATTCACATTTCCAGATCGGCTTCCTTACCGCATCTGCTCAAAATTGATAAAGCGGAGATTTCATTTGTGTCCATTTGTGGGATACCCGCTATCCGTAGATGGTTCGGTACAATTTGAAGAGCAGAGCCCCATAATATGACCGAAGCAACACGTGAATTGTGGTGCTGTAAGGGTGCAACCACAATGAAATCATGAAAGTTAAAAGGCTGAGCGTTCAAGGTTGACCTCGAGAGAGTGGGCCCTGTGAAAGGGTATTGACACATCGACCGCATTGTAGGCATGCACGCGTAGCTACCATGCCTAGTTAGCCACGCACAAGCATGGTACTGATGGGTCCAGGGTTCATTCAATGTTTCCGCAAATTTGTGCTAACCAGTAAGCTGTAACTCACTACTGTAGTCATGGGTATTGCCCTTTGACAATCAAGTCGACGACAGTTGGGGAAAGTGAAGGTAGAAAATGAACCTTAAGCAAATGAAGCAACCCGCTACCGGAATTCAGGAACGTGCTATTTGAAGATCTAGGCCAAGAAAACACAGTGGCACCAGATTGGAATAGCCAAAAGCTGAGTGGAAGACCTCAAATTGCGATAAAACAAAAAAGAATTTCGTTGCTTATGAAAACTCAACAATGATATTTGAAATCCCATGGGTAGCTTGAGCCTTGTCGACAACCATCAGTGTTTGCAGGCATGTGCCGGCAAGTTACACTCACTAAAATCTTTAATAATTGTTCCACCTTGCCAAGGTTGATGGTAAGCTTCAACCCACGAAGGCCATGGCCATACTTAGAAAGTACCTAGTAAGTAAGGCTTAGCTTGCCTGTGTGCACACTGGAGGCTACGACCGTCGTCTTGTATAGCCGTAGTCGTGGGTGTTGGCAATTTTGTGCTCCAAACATCCCGACTTTTAGGAGAATACCGGTAAGGTTAAATTGATACTATTTAGTCTGATGCTAGAAAATGAGTTAGTTTGGTTTGCTCTCGCTCGTGGTGTTACATCTCGAAGACAGATGAGATGGGACAGTGCAGTCTCTCCGCAGCCCTATCTGCCCTAATTTCTTTGTTTAGAAAGAGGAATTTTATGCATGAATTGCAAAGCTGTAAGACAACAATGATCTTGTTGGCTTTGTTGTTGTTCCAAGTACTCTAATAAGCCTATAGCCTTATGAGTACGTGCAGGATCAACCGATGCTGCCGCATAATTCTTCACCCGATTTTTCCCTATAAATATCATGCTTTCCGTTATATCTCGTATAGGTACGGTATTGGCGGTAGCTGAAAGTGTTGATTTGACGTATGCATGCATGGTCTTTGGAAGGAAAGATGACAGCGGGGCGACGGGTGACGTTTGAAGTTGAGACTTGTCATTGGGAATGATTTACCAATAGAGGACTTGGTGGACAGACGGTACGACCCATCATACGATCTTGCTACCCTTCTTTTTGGTTGTAACGTATGCTCAATGAACCTTGGAAGATCGATGGTAGGACCCCTCTCACGGAAAAGCTTATGCAGCTGTAGATTGTAATTTTTTGTGATCGACTCCCATGTGCAAAAATGGAATCCAATCAAATCTTGAGTATAAATCTTACCAAAAACTCTAAAAGATGAAGCGTATGAGGAGGAAACATTTGTTTTCGTAATTACCTCGAGTTGCCTCGATGATCCTGCTTCATTTAGCGGTCAAGGGATCAAACGCAATCTCATAGAGATGATGATACTTTCGTACGGGTGGCATGATATGATGGCCCGACTCCCAGAAAGTAGTTGGAGTAAGGTGTTGAACCTTATGTAGTGATGTCCCCAGCCCAGCGTCTTCAGCTTGTTACAGATCACATTAGTGAAAAAGTCTGTCAAGATGAGAATGGAGCATTTGAGACCTGTCAACGGGAGAGCATCATGCTAGGTGTAGCGATTGGTGGATGAAATCGCAAGAGCAATGGGTCCACGGTAAGATGGGTAAGATGGGGAAAGACTCAGCATTCGGATCCAAATGAAGTTGTTGATGAAGTTTCGGTATGTGCGACGTGCGGCGTGCGGCATGCGCGCTGCATTCAATTTGTGACGAGAAAACATGACTCGCAGCTAATAAAGTTTACTGTGATGTGAAGAATCAAGATTGATGATTGAAATCTGGAAGAAGCTTAGGAGATTTGTGTATCTCTCGTGTATTTGCATCAGTTGCGTGATTTGCTCAATCGGCCTCACCGTAAAGATTACACATTCCCTGGCGAGCCCGGGTAGGTGCATGTAGAGGAAAACTCTAAATTGTATCAGATGCTGCATGCGAAGTTCTACACTGCAACCTTCCGGACTTGACCTAACGGGCCACGATATCACTGCTGCTCAAGCAGCCGTAGATGATGGTGACGATCATGATGATGATGACGACGATGACGACGATGAAGCAGTGTGATGAAAGAAGTCAGATGGATACCTTTTATCGAGATATTCCTTCTGAGACGTAAGTGCTTGGGTTGGGGAAAGACCGCAGCAAGGAGGAGGCAAGGAATTTATCAAGCAATTCTCTCTTTCTATCTCGGTCCTTTTTACCACGAACAACACGAGAAATGTGACATTGTGACTTTCAAGCATGCACGTGTCGGGGTCCAAAGCAACTTGCGTCCTTGTCCTTCTTCTGCTTCTTCCTCTTCATTCCATGCAGAAAGATATTTGGGCTCGGGAAGCAGAACTCTGGAATCTGCAGTCTGTACCCAATATCTGGTCAACGTTCCCGCATTCTATTCTGTATTGGAGAAAGAATGCATAAGCTTATAATATAAATTCAGGATTTAGAAACCAAATCAATCTAACGGTTTTCTAGAAGCCGCCATCCCCGCCTAAAATGTTCGAAATGGCGGTGCATCAATGCATAAGTCAGGTCCCCAGAGATCATTTACTGGAAGAGGATTGGCTTTGAGATAGGTGTTTAAAGAATTCTCCATGGTGCATTTAAAAGAGTGTTAGTCTGTGTGAGAAAGAGATACCGGGAGAGAGATAGACAATGAGATGTTGGCAATTCATTAGATAATCCAAACTATGCAGGTGTGTCGTTGGTTGTCCTTTGACTGTTCAGGGCTCATATGAGAAGAAGCATCTTTTAGTCCGTGGATCTGGATGGATCTGGATGGATTCTGTTGATGATGCTCGTAGAGATCGCGGCCAAAGGGAAATATCTTGGAACTACAGTCGTATCTGACTGCTTTGACCTACTGAATGTCTCCCGGCGCTCTACTATCTACTCAGGTCGGTAGATATGAAGCCGACGGTCTTGTCAAGCCATTGTTCCATATCCGTAGTTCTCTTCATCAAAGTTCAAACTATATTTAATATGTAGTCAAGCAATCAATCACATGTACCTGGCCGGCCGGATCTGGATGCTGGATTCTGGATGCTGGCCCCAAATTAAGTTCATCTTGTCAAACTCATTCGAGTTACTCTGTCTCTCGAGATATCTACTTTCAAGTTTCATCACATACAGATTACAGCCTCACCAAGCAATCCAACGTCTAATATCCAATATCCAATATCCAATATCGTAGTAATATCCCACATCTCAGAAAGTATAATAGAGTTCTATCAGAAACCACAGATCATCAATGGTACCCAACTGCCCTTGTATCACAATACCGCCAGGGATTCCTCTCATTCCTCTTATTTCTCACAATTATCACTGCCATCGACATCCACAAATACCTAGGTGATCATTCCCACTTGAGCCACTGTCCTCCTGAAGAACCATTCACGAATCACAACCCCCTCCAAAACGTCCCATTCATGAGTCTATATACGACAAATCCCAACTTGTCCCAATTGATCATCCCAAGGATTTCCACCTTTCATTAAGTAAATGCTCTTTTACTTTCTGTCCCTCCCCGAAAACGTCAAGCTCTCCCTCTCACTCAAATTTACCAGGGTTGACATCGATAGCAACCCTGTAAACGTGTAAATATTTGTCTCTTATCCCCCCAAGATTCAACATTCAAAAAGCGGTTGGATTGTAGGAAGAAGAAGAGGAAGAAAAAGCAGAAGAAAAAGCTGGTTGCATCTTATACATACATATACTCGAGTACAACTTTACACATTCACCACCGGCTTCCTCTTCAATTGATTCTTGCCTCTGATAGCGACGACAGTGAAGAGTTTTATATTACATTCCACTTCTTCTAGAATTCTCTTTCGAAAGGGCTTGAACCTATTAATCTTTTATTTATTCATTTGTTTGTCTGTCGGGTTGTTTGTTAAATCATTCGTCCATCCATTCACTTCTCGATTTTCTCCAGTACCCGTGTTATATATGTATAACTGCTGGTGTTAGATTCCCTAGGTACTATATACCACTTCCCACGTCTAAACTTCGATCCGAAAACTCAACCAACTCCATACCTACCTACTACCAATTCCGATAAAAAAATTCGTATCAGAACACCAAGGGACAACAAAAATCCACTCCCCCTCCCACTTCTTCCCCAATTCTACCGGATTTGCACCGGTATACAACCCTCGCCGACAAAAAAATAAAATAACTTCAGGGATTTCTATTGGCAAGATGTCCAGCTACCCAGTTCCGAATGGTCACAACAACAATAACAATGGCTACAATTCCTTGCCATTGCACGGCCCAACATCAATCCCATCGCCAAATGATTCTTTGATTTCCCATAATCAACAGCTTCAACACCAGCATCAACAACAGCTCGGCATACCTGTCTCACCCTCTTTTCAATATGATCCTCAAATGGGAGCTCCACAGGGTCAGCCATCACCCCAAATGCCCCCACCAATGCAACAGTATAATGATGGAATGACGAATGGCCATGATGGTTTACCCATTCAAGCTGGAACACCATCATCCATGAATGGAACCGGAGAAGTACCCAAAGGAAATAGATTACGGAAAGCATGCGATTCATGCAGTATCAGAAAAGTCAAGGTGAGTCTAGAAAAATTCCAAAGCATCCAAAGTTTATCTTTACATATTGCGGGGTAAATACTAAACATTTGTTTTTCTTAATAGTGCGACGAGTCTGGTCCTCCATGTCGAGCATGCGCTGCACTAGATATTCCATGTACATTCGACAGACCAAGTCGTCGCAGAGGTCCACCAAATCGACATGCGGAAGCAGTAAAAAAGAGAAGACTCGAGATTGAATCTTCGGGTGGCGCATCTTATTCCTCTCCGACATCACCAAACAATGTTGCTGCGACGTTGGCATCGTTCTCTTCACACGCAGTTCTATCTGCCGAATCGATATTGCCACTAGCTACTCTTGAGCTCTTCGTCGATGATTTCTTCACATACATACATCCGCTCGCCCCATTTCCACATGAACCCTCATTCCGAGTGGCACTCAAAAATCGAGAAGACCTAACAAATTCATCGTTTCTTGCATTGTTGGCATCCATGGTTGGAATATTGGTAGCATCATTTCCTAGAAAGCCTAGGCTACATCTCAAAGCTCAACATCGAGAACATCTGTTCCCACATTCGCTCAATTTGGTCGAAAGATGTCATAAAGTGGCAGTTGAAGCTAGGGGTGCTGGATACCTCGATAAGGATCTTTCGGTCTACGATGCAGCTACAAGTTATTTTCTCGGATTGTCAGGCGCATACACATTTAATTGGAGACAATGTAGATTGTATTTTGGAGAGACATTAAACATTTTAAGAATGTTGGGAGCACACAGAACCAAGAATACTGGTGGGATGGCTACTATAGGTCATCTTCCTGCGACATTTGGTGCTGAAAGTCCTCAATACGTTGATCAGCCTGAACCTGTCGATTATATTCGTCAAGAGATCGGCAGAAGGTTATTCTGGGTTATGTTTGTTGGTATTCGGTATGTGATTTTATCCCCTATTAGAAATGTCCTACTGACGAAGAAGATCAATGCAACAACTAGGTGCAACTTTTGGTGAACTTCTGATCCCTCCACCAACCCCAAACGAACCATATCCTCCACTACCCGTGGAAGTTGACGATGAATACATTTTTGTAGATCACATCCAATCACAGCCTGAAGGTGTCTTATCAGGCATTGTTGGATTTAATATGGGTGTCAAGACCTACATGACATGTACACCTCTTTCAACAATGGAGGTTGCATACGGAATTGATCAAGTCTTTGACTATCAACGTCAACGAAGGGTGCTCTCACAATGTCTTAACGCTGCCAAACACGTTCTGGACCAATTACCAGATGAACTGATGCTTCTGCAAAATTCTGAATCAGGAGAATTTGGTCAACGAAACGACGCCTACTATCCACCTCTGGAAGGGTTTCCGGGTGCTCGTTCAGGTGGAATCGAAGGACAATCTTGGAATGGAGTCACCGGAAATGAGAAGAGAAGGAGACAATATGAAATTATGAAATCTAATATTTACGCTAGTCAGCTGGCCACCAGGTCATATCTCGTTGAGAAGTATTGGAATCTTCAAGATGCCTACGAGCAGCTCAAAGCTAAAGCAGGCGGCTCAGGGGATCTCAAATTAGGATCTCCAGGTCTGATCGCAAGTGGCTTGGATGGAATGCTGCCACGATCAGCAACAGAAGATTCAATTGAGTCTATTGTCATGAATGAAAGGGAGAGCATTGTGAAGGATTTGCTGAAGGCGCTAAGTTGTCTTCAACAAGTAAACATGGAACCTAATGGTGGCAGTTTTGTTGGTTAACCCTTCCGTTTTAATTCCTCAAGTAATTTCATTTTCGGGCTTACTAATAATTTCTGCTATAGGTTAATAAAATCCGCCAAATAGCGTCAACTTTAGTCGATACCCCGCAAAATCGCAAAGGACCTTTCGCATTACAAACTGAAGAGTACCTAGCTAAATTCCTGGATATCTTGATGAAACTTGAGAGAGCTAGTCCGGCCGGTGCTAGAAGTGAGAGTGCTGATGGTGTGGTTGATGAGGAAGAAGAATTAAGTAGTTGGGCCGATCTCAGAGAATATCAGACGAGATTCGCTCAATCTGGAGGATTCTTGAACGAATTGTAAGATCATAATTAAGGTTTGGGGCTAGGTGACGAGAGATGGAGAGAGAGAGAGAGAGAGAGAGAGAGAGAGAGAGAGAGAGAGAGAGAGAGAGAGAAATGATTAATGCGTTTGCAATGGAATGGCAAGGAAAATTTGGGCAAATGGGGTTCGGGCGCAGATCTTCTTATTGTGAAATGGATGGACGGATAGATGGATTGTGTGGGATGGGCAGACGATTGGTTTTGTGGCATGGAATATGTATGTATGATGGTGAACGAGATTGGGATTCGAGTGAAGCAGATGGAGTGGTTGGATCTACAATGTTCATATGGGAATTCAATCAATGGCAGGATGGCAAACAAAAAAATAAGGTTTGCTTAAATGGTTTTTGGGGGGCTGGATGGGGGGACGGGTGGGCTGGGTAGCTGGATCAGCCACAAGAGATAACAACTTTGGTATCTTGTGGTACTCTGTACTAGATCATCGGTACATTTCTGCAACCACACATCGCGCATGGGTTTTTTTTGCCGGAGCAATCAATGCAATTTGCACATGCAGTATAACAGTTCATGTAGAATAAGAAACAAGAAATAAATGATATCCACATTAGCATATCCAATACAATGTATGTGAAGTTCATTTGACTCGTCAGCAAGAAAACACGGAGTAATCTATTCCTCTCACACATCACAAATGGAAAATGAAACGCAACAGCAGAAAATTCGGAGTACAATATATATTTCTACATGACTTTCAGCTAAAAAAGATCCCCTTCCCTGGGGTTGGTAGGTAGCTAGCCATTCTCCTGGTATATCCGTGTTTCTCAACGCCTGCTATATACATCTTAAGCAATTCCAAACGCCGTACATGTAGGATATGTCTAACCCATATAAAACTGCATCATCATCGTATCAACTTCGTAGCTGGCAATTATATTTGTTGTCAAGCTCGCTTCCTCATATCTTACTT